GGAGTATAACAGGAGCTCTCCTGTAGTTAGTCGTTGTTGTCCAACTTGTGTCCAATGTGTTTCACTGATCGCAAGTACCTCTAGGTTGTATCTTCGCATTTCTGCAGCAATTTGGAAGGCTCTTGCGGTGTCCCACATTGTACGAACATTCCATATATCTAAATAAGTTTTCGCTCTGGTTGTCAGAAGGGGCATCAGGTTCGTAACTTCCGAACGGATTCGGCTTTCATCATGAGGCGTCATAATTCTTCTAAATGAAGACCATCTGACTCCCAGGGGAGAGTTTAAAAGGTTTGAATAATTTTTTCTGGTCAGCGTTTTTTTAGCGAGTTAGTTTTCTACGGGATGGGGACGCTAATTCCATGCCCAACCCTCCTCCTTTATCCGGGTTTGGGGCTGACAGTAGCCCCCGGAGAGACTCCAGGCGGCGTTCATTTGGCACGACCTCGATATTCTTTCGATACCACGAGATCGCCAACAAATACCTCTCAACTACAGCCATCAACTGCCTTCTGATATTTGGCTTACGGGAGATCTTATCGGTTAACTGGCGCGTAGTCTACATGTAGCGGTGATCATAGTCAACCGCAACTCGACGACAAACTACATATGTAATAATCATGTACTTAAAATTATAAAGTCTGATGATGAAGTTATTGGAAACAATCGTTCAGTCTAATATTCCTTACTTTTGAATTCAGATTAATTGAACAAGAACATACATGATTGAAACTGAAGGATTCACCTCATTTGTTATTATTAGAATTTAAGTATTTCGGTCAACTAAATGACATACTGATTATGACCCATTATGGTGGAATGAAAATGTTTGCATAATATTTCAACTAGACAACCAGTTCAACTGACAGCCTAGCAAATTGTCTGATGTTGCCAGTTGAAAGAATTATCACCTTTTGCGTAATAAATCATATATATATGATTTTGTTCGCAGTTTAATTAACTGGGTAATTCATGTAGAGTGTAAGTGTTGTTACTTACTTACTTACGCCTGTTACTTCTCGTGAAGAAGCATCGGCCGCTCATCATCATTCTCCATCCAACCCTGTCCTCGGCAATCCTTTCCAGCTCCTCCCAGTTGTTATTCATCCTTCTAATATCTGATTCTATTTTCCGACCTAATGTGTTCTTTCTCCTTCCTCTTTTCCGCTTCCCTTAAGGATTCCAAGTTAGGGCTTGCCTCGGGATGCAGTTTGTTGGTTTGCGTAATATATGTCCTATCCATTTCCACCGTCTTTTCCCAATTTCTTCTTCAGCTGGAAGCTGGTTTGTTCTCTCACAGTTGTTACATAACATTTTGTAGTATGCAAATTCAGATTTTTGAGGAGTTTGTTTTACAGATGTATTGTGTGAAACAATGAAAACATGGTCAAATAGCAATCAATCTACACGTTTGTATAATTAATCTGATTCCTTACAAACTAGGAAGTTCATGAAAATTCAAAGAATAGGATTTGGTATGTTTTATTGCTTACGATGTATTAGATTGTGTAGGTTTAGTGTGAATTTCATCTTTCGGGAATTAGTTAATTGTACATTGTATCCAAAACGGGTTTATTCCGATGTAACATGGTTGTCCATGTATGTCGTTTGCTAATGATCATCATATCGGCAAGTATCCATCGAAGAGACTCGAAATGATTCTTTTAAGAAGGTGATTGTTTGTGAATTAGTTCATGAAAGTCTCGCGTAATGAATTCAATGAAATGAGTGTCCAACAACTGATTCCAACTTACAATAAACGTTCAGAGTCTTTGTTGACAAAGAATCAAATTTATGTTTATCTATTCTAACTAGTCTCCCACTCAGTGATTTCACTTTTGACTTTATGCTGACAACAATGAGCCGGAAATATACTGCTGAATCATTTAAAGAGGGGAATGCGTGTTAAGATGGTGGGAAAGATTTGTAGCTCAGGTGAATGATTTTGATGAGGTTTTGTTCTATGAGATGGATAAATTCGAACGCTTCACTTCTACCTAAAGGTTGTACTGATTATGTCGTTCAGAAGAACGTCGGAAAATCCTGGACCAAACTATCGAGCTCAGACAGCTAAACTCCATCAGAAGGCGTGTCAAGTTTATCGAACAAATATCAATCAATATGTTATTTATCGGCCATTAAGCATTTTTATCTCGACGAATAAGTGAACACTTAGTACATATAACACTGTGGCTTGATGTATTTTCGTACAAAACATAAACTATAAACCTCATGGTCTATGCCTATCGTATAAAACGTCACTAAATACGTCAATTAATTAGAATCATAATAAGTAATTTTAATTTCACAATATTGACATCATTATTATGTACCGTTTATTTACTCGTTAAGTCCTAATTGTCGTGCTATTTTACACTCGTCAGCAATGTGTACTGTGGTGTTTATGTGCACTAAAGAATCTTTTGTACTTGCTGAATGCTTGGGTTCGAGTTCCAAATACGGTACATTCGTTTGTGTTTATCCAGTACTTCTTAATTCAGTTGCGTTATTTCTGGGATTATTAGTTCGTATTATAATTCTAATACTTCTTATTATCGGAATGGCGTCGCGATGTAGTCTGTTATTTTGATGCTTTCGAGGATTAATTTGAAAGGTTCAAAATCTTGGCTATGATCAAGGAAGATGCTGAGGACGTTAATATTGTGGTACGTTCCCTTAGATTTATCGGAAAGAAACTCTGGATTTACCAGAAAAGCCCATTTCGCCTACTTATGCAATTCTCAAAGAACCACTGCTAGATTATGTTAAATATACAGATTTCGAATGCAGTAAATAAAGTTTTGGTAAAATGATATACTAAGACATCAAAAATTCTATCACATTACTACGTCCTCCGAATCCAGTGCATACTCAAGGTTACTCAGATAATTCACTGTTGAACTCCTATGCAGTCCACGAAGATGGGCACATGTTTGGTCAATGTTTGTCCTCTGCAAGGTTTCACTTGCTAAATTCGTTTGTATTTCGTAATTCTCAATGCTTTAAATATGAATAAATTCAGTCACTTTGTCATACCATGGTGCAACTGATGTTAAAATCTGTAATACTGATCCTATTAATTTGGGTGTTTCTGATTATCATTTATCTTTATCTACTATTTCGAACATCGCCATGGAGTCACATAGCGGACCAGATTTAAACGAAACTCAAAAATCCTTGTGAGAAAACAAGTTCTAGTTATTCAACTTATCAGATTCCCCATGTTAGTGTACCAAATATGGTTTGTACTAACAACTACCATATTTCTGATTAAATTCCTTGCAAATCTGAACCTAGTCATGCTCGAAAATCTGTTGTAGTTTTGGTAGGTCCTGCTTTTTCTAATGATTCTTTACTGTGCAGGGATATTCTGAATAAATTCGAAGAAACTATTTCAAAAGAATCAAATCCTAATGTCATATTAAATATTATTAGTTCTCATAATGCATTTGTTTCTTGTGGGAAACTTGCTCAATGCGAAGCACGAGTACTAAATGATCTTGATTTTGATTACAATTCACATGATTTCATATCAACTGATGTTTATCCTTATCACAAAGTTACTTCCAATGTTTACTCTAACCAATCTGAGAAATATCTATTAAATGAAGCCACATCATTCACAACCTGAGGACATAATGATCCAACATTATTTCATATGGGAGGATAGTGTTGGAAAATCTGTGGTTCAAATTCTAGATATTAGTGGTTTCTGTACACAACCGATATAGTTATTGTATACAATCTCAGGACCTAGGTGAGTTTGTTCCGACTTTGATTGCTAATTCTAATACTAATGAGCATATTCTAGATCATACAGTCTGCGTCCAATACATGGTCCGATAGACACGACGAACCTACGAAGAAGAGGTACAGTTTATTGCAGAAATTCGAATTCTCATTTAAGCTATGGTGGATGTGATGTTTATATAAAGTGACGATTCCGTTGTAATTGTTGAATGCTTGATTTTGAATTCCAAATACAGTGCATTCGTTCGTGCTTATCTAATACTTCTTGCTGCAATTGCTCTATTTCTGGGATTTTTAGTTTTTACTATAATTCAAGTACCTCTATTTATCACATATACCTGTAATCTTGAGGGAACTGATGCTCCCTGACAGATTCGATCACATGTCAAGAAGCAGATTGTGTGATGTATGGTGACATATATTCAGTGATTTTTGTAACAACAAAAATAAAAACCACATTTTTTCTCTAATTTGTCACACTTTATTTGTAACCACATCTTTATCCAATATCTGTTGTTTTGCTGTATCACTTGTTAAAAAGACGATAATAATTGTTTCGATGAATGGTATACACTTCTACTACCGGGTTGTTTAAAATATAGAACAATACCTACGCCGTTTGTTCTTCTGTTTTATTGGCCACCGTTTTGATTGAAGACTATAATAGTATTATAACATCCTTATAGGCCTTCCGACTCAACGTTGGACTTTTGGCACGGATTACTATTGTATAATACTATTGGACTCCGTCTTCCTCATTACGTCTTTGGTGCAGTCGCTTGCAGAGGAACACCTGTCAACCAAGTGAACTTAGTTTGTGGTCGTTGTCCTCACGAGGCAGTTAACAAGTAACATTCATTCTATAGTAACTGTTAGCGTCTGTTTGTTTAATATACCTTTTGTATTGTTAACGGTATTTTATTACCTTTGTTTTTACTAACGGACAGACATCTAGGTTTCTTAATCATTAATTCGTTTTGGTATATCAGTGTTAACCTAGAGTATCAAAATATTTTGTGTAAGCTCCTTTTGTTTGGGGACCACCACAGATGCTACCACGCAGATACACATCTGATCTATCGTAAATACTCTTCTTTTTAAGACAACACACAATTTCAATAGACGATTAAGGTGTCTATTGTTGATCATTCATTCACTAATAGAGAAATACATACATGTTAAGATACGAGTTTATAGTCTAAAAAGAACATTGAAAGAAAAAAGGCGAATTACAATCATTTATTTTCTGAGTAAAATAAATTTCACATTAATTGAGCAAATTAGGTGTGAATTGTAAAACCATTAGCCTGAGAATAGTTACTTATCGATCTGACAATCAACAGAACATCGAAATTCGCTTCGAACAATTAGTAAAAACTATCACCAATTTACTGAAAGCTGGTAATCAAATGGAATGGAATGATTCGAAACATCATTATTCCAGATGGATTGATGGAAATCGTAAAGTTCTCTGTCAATTGTACGTCTTTGAATCTATCACCCGTGAATACATCCAGTAATTCAAACTTATCTCCTGATATTGTATACATCTGTGATTTGAATTCATCTAGATTCGTGCTGAAGTTGATTGGTCCTCCATCAGCCTTTGTGTAAATGCAAGCGATTGCCCAACCATTTGGACAATTATCTAATTTTCGTATCCACAACTGTATGAAAAGAAATATATGAATAGATGATAAACGTCTGTTAATATTCAGTACACTGATAAATAAAAAAGATGTTAACGACATGTCGTGACCTAGTTGAAGAACAAATAATGGAAAAAAATGTAGTTGGTGGCTATACTTGACAGCTACATAGGTGCAGCTGCACTGGTAGTGATTGGGTATATTAACAAAACAATGATCATGTCGGTCGACTAACTTATTAAATATTTATGGTTAGTGTATATTAATGCTGACTCTTCACTTGATTTGTGGTAATACATGTTATTGAATCGAAGCAATGGTCAGTGTAAACTTCCGTTAGAATTTAGTGACTAAGCTTGACAGCTAGAACAGCTAGAATGCACACTATCAAAACTATGAAACTGAGATTGAATATTTCATCCATAATGTTCGTCTCTATCCTTACATATTATTATATTTAAAATATAAGAGCTTCATTATACGGTTATGTCATTCTACCGACACAGTGAGACATATTATGTATTCGACTATATGATGAATTCCTAACTAATGCAATGAGCTCACCTGTACATCATTTCGTGTTTTCACGAATTCCGCCTGATGTCCACCTTTATCCTGATCTATCGCCAACAAATGTTTGTTACGTAAGAGAGATGCACTGAATTGATCCACCTTGTCCATGTCAGCTGAGATCAGTAGTGGAGCAGCAAACATACACCACATGCCCATCTGAACTCGCTTTTGATCATTTGAAAGTCCATTGTATCCCAAGACTAACACATCGGGATCATTGTAATGTCCGGGACCAGCCACTTTCGGAAAAACATCGTTGCGAAGTTTATATCTATTAATAATACCGATTATAGATCCCCAGTTGTTTTGTACGTTGGACGACACTCGCCACAAATTACAATTATCTTGTAATCTTTTCCAGTCAATCAAATTAGAGTTTGAAAGCCAATAGCTATATGCTGGATAAGTACACAAAAGCATTATCGGCCTGCCAGTTGCGTTGAGTAATCTGTGAAATTTCTCAAAACCATCTGGCGCAGTATTCTCCGCAGAGTGGCAGGCAAGCATCTTCACATAATCCACTCCCCAGTCAGCCACTGTTTTTGCATCCAATTCTAAATGATTTATACTTCCAGGATAACGAGCACATGTCATGGCCCCGTAACTAAGAGTTACACCGAGTAGAAGGTTTTTGGAGTGCAGATATTTTGCAATGCACTCAATACCCTGGAAACGAAATATTTTTTCGGAGTTTAAATATATACGAACTATAAAAGTAGAACGCTATGAAATTTAACAAAGAATACAGCAAATGGAAACTAATTCATAACCAATCAGGTCTACTACAACACATTGATTTACATTAAGAAACCTATGTCCTTCATGATAAGTTTAGTGAGGCTATAAATGACACTATGAAGTCATTCATAAAGAAGCCTTAAATTAACTGAGTGGTTTGGTTAAAATGATTAATTTATGATTAATATAAGTTCATATTGTTGAAACAGAATACAAAAATTGTGGACATTTAATATTAAACGATATGGATCAACTCACACTTGGAAATCTTGAAGGATCTGCCATAAGGCTATTTGTTTTCGGATCACGTTGTTTTGCTAACCAACAATCATCAAGTATCACATATTTATAACCCAAGTCTCGCCAACCATCCGATACAAGTTTATCAGCTGTTCGTTTGATTGCATCCTCATTAAGACAGTTGTTTGGATACCTTTGACAATCCACCCGACAGCCGAGTGCATAAACTGTGCTCCATCCCATTGGTGGTGTTCTAGCCAACCCATTGTCCAGACACATCACACAGTTCAGAGTGAGAATGACTGCTCCCGAAATTATCGTTAACACTGTAAACATGTCAGCTAAACAGGAAAGATGATGAGTTATTTAGTGTTAATTGACTGAAGTGTAATTTCATGGAGATGTATAATAACATTAAACATCATTTTATTGAAACATAATCAACAAATTAATTTCATCAAAACAATGTTCTTCGATATGCCAGCTCTTTCAACACGCATCATATCATAATCTCATTTCTCGTTGAAGTTGCGACACCTCAATTAAGCAGTCCTACAAATGATTCGATCGGAGACGTACGAACTCTTCGTTTACTCACAACTTGGGTATGTCGCACTCAGTGCGAATAATGCTCAGAAAAATTCTGAACACCTATGAAAGCGTTGAATTCAGTGGTACAAGAGAACCCAAACTGTGAACCTATTCTCCCCATAGTCATTCATATCGAGCATTTGTATTTTCCTAACACAAGTTTATTCTAACAGTTGAATTCATGAGTCTATCTAAGCTAGATCATCACTGCCAACATGGAAGCATTGGACGATCGTTCCGCCTAGTATGAGACTCCTCAACATTGCACATTCACGATCGCATTCAAAACCATTTTTATTATTATCCAATAAGTTTTATGATCACTGATATCAATACTATTGCAAGCATTTATATAGATAATTAAATCCGTTGAATTATTGTGGGAACCAAGAAGTGACTGTGGAACAAGAATATCACTTTATGTGAATATGCTTTATAATATATCTCATGCAGTGTTCATGCCTGTCTCCATGGAACAAATCTTCTTGCCAAGTCAGATCGTATTCAAGACGATTCACTCCAAATCATCTCGAGTGACAAAACTGTGCAAAACGACAGACACAACTGAATCGCCTTCTCCTAATTAGAGAGACAGCATAGAATGTGATAGCTTTCGTCACCGATATCACATTCCCAGTCAAATCGACTGTATGGCCACCATTATAACAAGCGAAACCCTGTCCACCAAAACACATTGAAACATCCACATCTGAAGTATAAGGAATGAGTGTGAAACAAGCACAATCATTGAAATAAACACACCAGAAAGATTCAGTGTTCTACAATGTATATCATCATTGAATGATATTTCTTATAAGAATATTCATGTCGAAATATGCATAACAGAAATAAAACACACTTGGAATTGAAACATGATCAAAGTAATATGTATAGGTCAATATATAATTGCTAATCAACACTTACATTTCATAAGAATTACCCAGTTCACTGAATACGGAACCGATTCATATTTATACTACAATGAATAAGGTCATATTATGAGAATGAACTAGAAATGACCAACTAGATAAGAGCTTTGAAAATGAATATTTTGTAGAAGGCAATCAAACATACATGACAGTTCACATTGATCTCACATGAATACTGAAGCCACTTCACGCTTCAAAGAGTTCTTTAATCTGCGCATACAAACATGTCCACACGCAAGTCGATTGTCCGTCTTCATATAACCTTATGAGGACAGAAACAGAATATGACGGGTCGTACCACTATTCTTCATAATGTCATGTGTATGGGATCAACGGATTATGTAAATTGTGTTGTGTTTTGCAGTGAGGAATGTAACTTGAAATAAATGGTGTTACGTTAGTGTATGCTTGAATGAGTGAATGTGTTTCTTGAGAAGAATTTGAGGATGACAATGATTTGCGTGTTCTACTCAATTCACCTGAATAGAGTTGCAGATTTGTAGATTGAGCACTATCACGTTCAACCTATGACGACATTCAACACAATTTTTTTGACAGTTGTGATTCTTCGAGTATCTTAGAAAGTCATTCAAAGTGGTCTACTTTAAGCGGCACAAGATGAAGATTCATAGGCTTGATGGATTAATGTGATTGAGTTTCCCGGTTTTGAGACAATATGTTTCAATCGTGAAACGTGCATTGTGGTTGTGGGGATCATCATCAAAATAACGAATCGTAAATTCTGTTCGTGCATTGACGATGAAACGGAATTAGAGACCGTCGTGCATGGTGATTTATGTTAAGTGAAACCTGAACATAGTAAATATTGTTGAGCAACAATTATGATGACAAATCATGAAGTCTTCTGCTTTAGTATGATTTTTGCACTTTTCCCTCGATTAAACGGCCCATAGGTGAATTCGAGGAAGCTCTTAGAAACTCAGAATGAGCCTAAGACCTTACATTCAACCGTTTACTGAAAGAAGTTCCCAGAATCTCTACGTGTATCTTTCCTAATGAACAAATGTCAACAACCCCTGTATGCGGATTAGAGAACTATAACGATGATTTCGTTTTTTACATAAAACTATAAATATCTGACAGTATTGTATCACAGTTAGCACTTCTTGAAATAGCATTCTTTTCACTTGTTTTCTGTCTTCCCATTCGTGACATGGTGGGTTCTATCTTTCAAATTTAAACCATCCTATTGTAATGTAAAGAAGTTAGATCACGAAAGTAATGGAGTTTATGATCAAGGAGCAATTAGGGATTGAACATATTGTTCTGTATGCAAAGTTAAGGTTTGATCTGCTGGAAAGCAATCGCCTCTTCTGTACATACGCTCTTTATGTGCAACCATAACGGCCTCGAATTACCGAACTGTGTACATTATTTTGAGTAAAATGATTAGAAGTGACCAGATGCTTAAAGTTGAGCTTTAATCTGTCTTCTGTAATCCTCTGGTAAGTCATACGGAGGAAACATCACAGATGCAATAAGAAAAAGCGCATTTTAAGCACTCGAGATTTCAAATTTCGAGTGGGCATGTAGATTGGAATATGTACATTGATTTGGCCAAAACTGGGAACATATCTTTCATATAACTTCGAATCATGGGCTGACTACAAGAGATAAAACAAATCCCAGCAGAATTGAATGTTCTTCCAAGAGATCCTAAAACTCTTCTTTTGCAGAATTATTCCCATTATCATTTTTCATACTCTGTGCTCGCTTACGTCTTGTGACCTTGCCCCATCCTCTTTTTTCGAAATACGCACTTCATCATCCAATTACCTGAGCACAAATGATTATTAAATATCATGGTTATTTCAGTTTGCACATTTATCAAGTCACTCACCAACTTCCTATCATGAGTCGTGGATTCAAGCCCATGATATTCGTATCACAACTACTACACCTTTCATCACTCTATTAATTTGTGGTTCTCATTTGCTATGTATATTTTTATTATCTATTCCACTGTTATCATTGACTCAACTGACTTGATTAGTGTTATCATTCCGTATTTGAATATTAATATTACAATATATTAGGGTAAGCCTGGTGAGGATCTAGTTGAGAACAATATTGTTCGCTTGTATATGCTGTTATTCAAGTGGCCATTAATTTTATATACATGCTAGAACTCAATGGCAACGATCAGCAATGAATCTCATCTCTAATTCAAAAATTACAACTTCACTTATCTCACACGTTCACCTTTCTGTGAACTCCATTATATTAATTATTACTGCTGAGTAGTTCAGGTGTGGTGTGATGTGAATCGCTTTTCATCACATAGCTTGCTCTTCGTCTTCTCAATATTAAGAGAACCCATGAAATACAGTACATTTACTATTTTAAGTGTAACATTTCAAACACATGATTTTCCTGTCCAAGTGTTCTCTCAGTTTGTATTTGTTTGTGGAAACGTTCATGATTCGTATGCATGATTCTCGTTTGGGAATGATGAGTGAGTCCATTGGCTAAATTGAGATAACATCGTTTGTTTATTAAATGATTCTTATTGCTACATCTTTTATGTCACCTTGAACGACAGAATTACCATATCAACCTGACAAATTAAGGTTTGCAAACGGCACTAGTCATAGTGTTACTAGTGATATAATGATTGTATTGGCAGATCGTTTGTTTGTGCTGCTGTGTTTGTGCTTGTCTGAGCCCTCTATTGGCAATCCTTGAATTAATTCTAATGTGACAATTTGAGAATCATTCGAAGTATTTGACGCTGACGTCAGAATCTGTTACAAAGTTCATATTACTCACGTAGTATCCTTTATTATCTTGAAGTAAACAAGAATTAAGAATTGAGCAAAACAGTATTTCGATATATATCATCACGATATATTATGATTGTCGTGAAGAAATATGTTGTTTCACAGAAAACTCTAGATTGTCAGATATCACAGTCTCCAGATTTTGGTGAAATTTGTGATCTGGAACTATTGATATGAGACACGAAACTTACTCAAACAATTTGGTCAGTCTCTCAAAATAACTTCATGCTTTTTTGAAAATGCCTCTTCACAGAGGACGTATTTAGAGAGTTCTTGTTGCATTTTCAGAAACATTTCACAAAAAATGATAAATGTTCACACGATATCAGGAGATTGGGATAGAAACAATGAATTATGGAACTGAAACGATCAAATGAATTTACAATGTGGTAGTTAACCATAAATTATTAACTATTGAGAGTAACATGAATTGAGATCAGTAGGTGGAATACAGAATTCCAGAATGGAGAAAAGTGTCATCAATAAGAGAAGTAAGAAAAATGTAATAAACTGACATCAAAGTCACTATGATAAAGGAATATTCGCAACTGCTTCCTATCGAATGCATTAGTCTGACATGAGGCGTTTGACGTCTGTGGCTCCCGAGATTTTAGGACGAATGTAATTTGATTGTAGATCGATGATCCTGAAGGAATTCAATCTCTCTCCTGAACTTTAACAATAAACCCTTATGCTCTGTATCACAGAAATATTTGGCAGTAACACTGCTGACGGCTTTTTATCCCACTGAACTGATACCTTTTGAGATGTGTACGTAGAATCAAACAAAGTCCCTACACTCTGCTCTACCAGTGTCAATGCTTTGGTAGATAGGTGTTAATTTGTATAACTAGTTGCCAACGACAGGAAAAGATTTTCTGTCGATGTTTGATCAGCCTAGAGAGAACACTCTTTTACATGAGCCTGACATCATATCATCTCAAATACACATAAATCTGTCTACGTTTAGATTTGTCAAAGCCGTTTTGTGGCTCGGGGTATGAATCCGCCTTGA